TCTGATGATGAAGACAGTGGAAGTAGGAGGCCAGTTCATCTAAATCAGAAGGTTGTATTGGAGCCTGTTGGAAGATTGCTAAAGAAGAACATGACGGTATGTTCTTTCCCTGCATTTGAAATATTAATGTACCTTGCCTAAAATTTCAGCGATCGACTGATCATCATATTCTGTTTCAGGATTCTGTAGAGGGCAAAGATCAGAGTAGTGAGTTGGAAACTCTGCTTAGAGATTTCGATATTTGGATAGATAAAGATGTAAATGTTGGTGTAGCAGACAATATGGTGATTGGTCTAGAATTCATTGTTCAAATTGTTTTCCCTGTTATCCTATATGCATATTGGTTTTCATGGTCATCATATTATGTTTCAGGATTGTTTAGAGAGCAAAGATGAGAGAGAAGAGTTGAAAACTGTGTCTGGAAAAGTTGATATTTGGATAGATAAAGATATAGATGTTGGTTTTGAAGACAATATGGTGATTGACGTATAACTCGTTTTTTAAATCGTTTTCATTGTTTATCCTATATGCATATTGGCTGGCATGGTCATCATACTTTACTGGCTCAGGATTGTGTAGAGAGCAAAGATCAGACAGAAAAGTTGGAAACTTTGCCCGAAAAAGTCGATATTGAGATAGCTGAAGATGCAGCAGAAAATATGGTGATTGGTCTAGAACTTACTGTACCATTTTCCTTCTTATCCTATATGCGCATTGATTGCCATGGTCATCATATTCTACTGTTTCAGGATCATGCAGAGAGCAAAGCTCAGACAGAAGAGTTGGAAACTCTATCCAGTAAAATTGATACTGGGATAGATAAAGAGATCAATGTTGGTGCAGCATACCTTATGGTGATTGGAAAAGGGAATCAAAGATCTTCTGAAAAAGAGGAATGTAATTGGAAAACTAATTATCAAGAGACTAACAGGGAGTGCATAACTCCAAGCACAGAGGTAGGAGTTCTGGCTGGTAACATGGATGTTGGGACAGATAAGCCCGATCATGTTATTGGAGAATATGAACATGATAAGGTGGTTGGGGAAGGTAATCAAGACACTTTCCAGATTAAAGAACAGTATCAGAAAAATGATATTGACGAAGATGATCTAGCAGAAATATGGAAGGAGATGGCAATTGCAACAGAATGTTCCAAGGTATCTGCATCAGATAGCTCAGAGCATACCAAAATTTTGATAATTGATTTTGTACCAAGCTTTCCATGATGGTACTTTTGTTTTTCAAATTATATCAAATTTATGCTCGCTGCTTCTTCTAGGATATTGCTGTTGATCCTTCAGCTGATGAAACATCTGGTGTATGTGGGGAAGAATGTGATCACTTTTTCATCCTGAAGGATGATCTTGGATTAGTTTGTCGTATATGTGGAGTTGTTCAACAAGGAATTGAAACTATATTTGAATTCCAATATAGTAAGGTATTCATGCTTTTTTCTTCTTTTGTGCAACTTATGTCATTATATAAAGTTTCACATGAATGAACTAGTAAACTACTCGTGAGACGTTCATTATACTTGTTTCTGAAATTAAATGTTGGATATATTTGAAAAACTCTGGACTATCTAGCTTTGAGGTGGAACATGTGTTGTTTAATCATTAACTATCTGCATCAATTTTTTTTGTTCCAAAGTGGTATTTTTACATTCCTACTACTAACACCGATATTGTCCCCAACTTAACCACGTGCATAGCCTAGAAGGTGTGGCGCTTTATCACAAAAGGCCTCGGTGTTTTTTTATATATTTTTTATGCAAAGGCCTCGGTGTTATTAGTGGTGGAACCACTCACTTACATATTGTATTATGTTTTGTCAAGTTTCAGATGTGGTACTTTTACATTCTTCAATAAGAAATAATTATCTAGGGTGCTATGTTTCATTTCATGCCTTGGACGGTTATTACTCAGTTGTGATTTTTATGATCTTTTGTCATGGAAAAATGTTTGACACTTAATTATCCATCTTTTGTTCCTTGGTTATTATTTTGTGTCATCTATAGTGGTATCTCTGATTGGATCATGTCAGGAGATGGGATGCCTTTTTCTGTTAATTTATTCTCGTGCGTATTTTTCACTTGTGATCCTTGTTTCCTCACGATCAGGCCAAAAGGACTAAACGAACTTACATGTACGAGTCACGGAATGCCAACACTACCGAGTCAACTCAGAGTTTCTCAGTTGGACTGAAGTCTACTAAGGATTTTTTAATAGCAACAAAAATTTATGCCCATCCAACGCATAGAAATGAAATGAAACCACATCAGGTGGAGGGCTTTAATTTTCTTTCTAGCAACTTGCTGACAGATAATCCAGGCGGTTGCATTTTGGCTCATGCCCCTGGTTCTGGAAAGACTTTTCTGATTATAAGTTTTGTGCAGAGTTTCCTAGCTAGGTTCCCCCATGCTAGACCACTGATTGTTCTACCTAAAGGCATTCTGGCTACATGGAAGAAAGAGTTCAAGAAATGGCAGGTGGAGGACATTCCGTTGCATGATTTTTACACTTCCAAAGCAGATAACCGGTCTCAGCAGCTGGATATTTTAAAACAATGGGTAGAGCAGAAGAGCATCCTTTTTTTAGGGTATCAACAGTTCTCTACTATAATGTGTGACAATGGAATCAGTAGGACATCGATTGATTGTCAAGAAATTCTGCTGAAGGTCCCTCGCATTCTTATTTTAGATGAAGGTCACACTGCAAGGAATGAGGATACAAATATGCTTCAGTCCCTCGCAAGAGTCCAAACACCTCTAAAAGTCGTCCTCTCAGGAACCCTATATCAAAACCATGTGAAAGAAGTTTTCAATATTTTAAATCTTGTTCGTCCCAAGTTTCTGAAATTGGATACTTCCCGGGCTGTTGTTAATCGGATAATGAGCAGAGTGCAGATATCAGGTGTGAGGAAACAATTGAAAACTGGTACAAATTTAGCTCTGTTTGACTTAATAGAACACACTCTCCAGAAAGATGAAGATTTTAGAAGGAAAGTGGCTGTCATACAAGATCTTCGAGAAATGACCAGGAAGGTCCTGCATTATTACAAAGGAGATTCTCTGGACGAACTTCCAGGACTTGTGGATTTCACCGTTGTACTTAATCTTAGTTCAAGACAGAAACTTGAAGTGAAAAAGTTGAACAAATTGGATTACTTCAAGAAAGCTTCTGTGGGGAGTCTTGTGTATATGCATCCAGAGTTGAAATCTCTTACAGACAAATATTCGTCAACTGGAGGAAAAGGCTCTGAAATTGACAATAAGGAGATGGATAAACTTGTAGAAAATATAAATTTGAGAGATGGAGTAAAAGCTAAGTTCTTTCTTAGTATACTAGGCCTATGTGAATCAACTGGTGAGAAGTTGCTGGTTTTCAGCCAGTATATTACGCCCCTGAAACTTATGGAGAGATTAGCAGTGAAGGTAAAGGACTGGAGTCTAAACAAGGAAATTTTCATGATCACTGGTGATTCAAATTCTAAGCATAGGCAACAGTCCGTGGAACGCTTTAACATTTCAGCTGATGCTAAAATCTTCCTTGGCTCCATTAAAGCTTGTGGGGAAGGAATCTCTCTAGTGGGGGCTTCTCGAATCTTAATTATGGATGTTCAACTTAACCCTTCAGTTACTCGCCAGGCAGTAGGCCGTGCATTTAGACCAGGACAAAAGAAGAAAGTATATGTCTATAGATTGGTTGCTGCTGATTCGCCTGAAGAGGAAGACCACTTTATCTGCTGTAGGAAGGAATTGATTTCAAGAATGTGGTTTGAGTGGAACGAGAGCTGTGGAGACCAAGATTTTTATATGAAGACTGTTGATGTCAATGAATGTGGTGATATGTTCTTGGAAAGTCGATTGTTGCAGGAAGATATAAAAGTTTTGCAGAAAAGGTTTGTGCATTCATCATATTTTCATTAAGCCTTCAGGAAGATATAAAGATTTGACTACTTCTTATTATTTTTTTTGCTCAGGTAAAACCATCAAGGCAGGCCTAAGGCTTTGGGGAAAATGTAAATAATCTCGCTTTTTGTCATGACTACTAAGCTTCATACTCATCTTTTAAGACCAGTAGACTCTGTAGGCCATTTTGAACAATGCTGACGGTAGGTAAGCAACAGCTGTGCTTGGCTTCTCTTTCTTTTGTAAATGAGTCTGCAGAATGGGAAGTTGTGAAAAATGCATGTTGTTGAGTTAGATATTGTAGCTGATCCAAATGCTCGTTAGAGCTTGTTAGCATTGCTGTGATTTTCACCCGAAAAGGAGAAAAATATGTGAAGTGGTTTTTAGTATTTTGACAAGTTCTCAGGGATTAAGCTACAAAATACTTATAAAATAATTAAAATTATGAGCATTCCAGAGTAAGGGCTTCAAAGGCCTTGAAAGCAAAAGAAAACTACCAGTTTTAGAATGCTGAAATGGCTTTGCTAATCTTCCCCTAATTTTGTTTAAAAGCGTAAGAAAAGGAAAAGGAAGATAGAAAGAAGACATATAGCCTATAGGCCAAGAACAAAATCGGAACTGTATTATGTTGCCCTTAGGGAATGCAGCGTTCGAAAATGATTTGTTTTTATCTTCTTCTTGATGATCATTAGCAAACCTTAAAACTCCCTTGTAAAAGCAAGATCTTTCTTTGCTTTAGCCAAACCATAATTTAAAGAAAGGGAACTTGCTACGTAGAAGCAACTTATTTAGAGTTGCAAATATACATGTGAAAGACTGCCAATATCTATCTATCTATACACTTTAGATAAGAGAACCCTCTTTGTCAACCAAAGAGAGTTAAATACCAATTATACCCCTTTCAAATAAAGTAGTTTTAATATTTATTTTTAAAACTAAGGGTACCAATAACTTCCCCCTAAGCACATGCATATCATGCACAGAAGTATCTAGCAAACAGCAATGCCGGGCCAAAAGAAGGGCTCTTGTTGGCTTTGTTGCTCTTGTGAAATTGACTAGGCAACATTGAAATAACAGTCAGACAACTTGTCAGGAAGTTTTATTGCAAACTATAATATAAATTTTTTTCTTCAATACCATTACCACAATTGGCACTGATTGTACACTTTTTTCCCCTTCCACATATTAAACCAAAAAAGAAATATGTATCTTATCTTTACAAATATGCTGATCTTTCAATCAATTTCTTCATATAATACAACTGTACTAGTATGTTTTCATGTCTGGAGGAGTACAATGTTTCTTTTCACCATTTGCAAGCAAAGATGAATGTTCTAAACGCGGAGTCCAAAGCCTATCAATGTCTGTTGTCTCTCCCCCTAAGAATAGGTTGAAAATAAGCAATGTGGATATGCAATGAAGCATCTTCACACGACGAAATCACGTAAAAGATGGGAGGAACCGAATCTGTGTTGCTGGTTCCCAGAATCCATGCATTCAAAATCTGCTGTCTCAGATCCTACAGAAGAAGCTGCAGGATTGTATAAATCATCCCCTCTCATGGCAACAAAACTGTGATGAGTTCCAGTAGAGATGGGCAGGCTACCACCATCACAATGCTGCAACCCCAATGTCAGAGACACCCCGCTTCCACTTCCAAATCTCCCCAACTCCGGCATGTGGTATGCATCAGCTGCTTCCATATACCTCTCACTGCTCCTATCAGAGTGAACATTTGGATCAGAAAAGAGGCTACAGTCATCCATACCAGCCCTTTGCCCCTCTCTAAGCTTCACCAGCCCGTACTGAGCTTCAGCTTCGCGACGAGTCCCATTTTGGAAACTGGCAGACCCAGTGGATCCAGCCATTTCCACATCATGGAAATGGTCGGATTTGGAGTCCATAAATTGTCCAGTGCTGCATCTCTCAGTGCATGTCGAACTAGCACTAGGCTGCATATCTTCTACTCCATCTTCCATGGTCCTCATGTCACTTTTTTTCGTTTGAGGTGCATTCTCAGATGAAGAATTGGAGTCCATTTCCGCATCACCAGCCTCTTCTTTGTACATCTCCTCGACCATGGGCTTCCAGAGACGCACCCGTGCATTTATAAACCAGTTTGAGACCTGTGTCACAATGAAAGAGTACATGAATTTTGAGATCTCAAGTTGCATCGAATTAAAATGAAGACATTTGAACTCGGTAACTGATATATTATCCGGAAATGCTAATTTTTTATTCAAATAAAACAATATTAAGTTTATTTGAATAACTTGTTATGGCAATACCATACCCATCAACTTTGAAAAGTAACAATAAAGTAACTGCTGCAGTAAGCCTCCTTAATGTAGATAACGTTCTTTTGCTTTTTCTTTCGTAATACTCAGCAAGTACCCCTACCAACTACTCAGCTCCACAGTTTTCCTAACTATGTATCCCTTTAAGAATCAATACATTCCATGTCCTAATTCAACAGATTTATATGTATCAAAGTCAAAATAGGAAAAATATCCTATTCCCTGTCTCACATATGCACATGGTGCACCTAGCCAAATGCTATATATAAAATACGATTACTTCCCCATTACCTGACTTCTAGTCAAGCCTGTCTGCCTTGCTAGCATGATCTTATCAGAATCCTTCGGATAGCTGGAAAATATCAATAGTTAGACATTAAATTAAGTCAAGGACTCTGATATCTTCCAAAAACAATAGTTTGAGAAAAAGGTTGAAGTCAGAGGATTTACGGATGAAGGAAGTGCTCAAACAGCCATGCTCGCAGAATCGAAACAGAGCTTTCTGGCAAACCTCTTTGTGGCCTCCATGCATGCTGTTGCATCATACCAAGTTGCTGAAGGGCCCTCTGTTGCCTGAGTTGCTGGTCCACGTAACGGAGGCGAGATATTCCAACTCCTTTAATGCTTCCTGATGCACCTTCCTCCCCAAGGCTTTTACGGGTTGCTCGTATCTGCCCTGTGATTGCATCACGTAAGCATCGAAAGTGGCGTGAAATAGTCTGGAGGGCAACTGCTGTGTATGGTTTAGCTGCCCCACATCCCGCTATCACATCAAACGATGATACCACAATTTGCATCTGATGGTAATACTGCTTGTACCTTCTATCAACCTGTCATTGTAAGATAAAGATCATTACGCCTCATGGGAAAAAGAGGAGCTCCAGTATACTGGTGTAAATGAAAACATAGTCATGTATAGTTTTTGACCTTTTGGAAATACTGGAACTTGTACATTTAAGTTATCAACAAAACACCACAAATAATTGGCATATCATATAGGTATAAATGAATTGAACAGCCATGTAATTAAATAAGTTTCTACTTTCAGATAACAACGGATTCACAACATTCAAAAAAATAATAATAAAAAAAGAGACAGAAAAAGATGTTAAGTTATAAACCCAGAGTTGAAAAGGATTTTTTTATATAAAAGCGATCACTTATAGGAAGGAACAGAGAATTCAAAATTTCCCAATATCATTGAAATTCAAATTAAAAGAGCGTTTAATAGTGCAGAGATGTCATGGATCGAGTGCAACCTTTACAGGAAGGGGAACCTTTGTCATGTAGTTTATACGTAAAGCTAGAGATGAAGGTACAATTTGACAGCAAGAAAGGTCAGTGACAATCAACTGTCAAATAGTGCATTAGGGAGCCCAAAAAGAAATAAGCTCTTTCCCTAAACTTCCTATGGAAGTTTTAGGCGTAAATAAATTATAGTTATCAAACGTGAAACAGATTCTTTGTTTCATACCATACCAATATATAGAATAGATGACTCAAGTATTATGTACAGAATAACGCAAAGAACCACAGCTTCCTATCAGACTGTAAAACAACAGAATAATCATTTCTTGTTCCCAAAAACACCTAATATTGAGCAAATAACCTTTTAGAATTTAGACAGCCCCACAGAATAATATTCTGTCCCAATACCAGACAAAGGTCCCCAAGAGACGAGCAAACACAACCAGAAACTTCTAAAAAAGCCCTCAAAGAAGATATTGTTGTACAAATTTTTAAGTAACTAAAGCTGCTCGTGAATCCCCTAAATTAATAGACCAGAATACAAGAAATCTTATCACGAGCAATTCAGTGACTATGGAAACTTTGGCTCCAACCAAAGGGTTTTCCCTCTCCACCCACATCAACAATTAACAATGATACCTGAGGACAATTCTGCACCTTATGTTATTTTCTGTTCATAAAAAAAACATAGAGTACTAATGTCAAAAGTCTACATAGGAGGATTAACTTGATGTTCCATCGGAGTACATAAGCATATGGGAGACATTAAGGACATATTGGCAAGCATACAAGGAGAACCAGTTATCTTAATAATTTCATTAAGGTCAATTTTACTTCACACATCCCATGTTCTTTGTAAAATTACTAGTAAATACATATCATACAAGCCATCAACAAAGTGGTATTCATGGTGAAAGCAGTAGAAATAATTGATACAATGCAATGCTTCTCAACATATCATCTAAAAAGCCTACATGCAAGCCTCCAGGTGATTCAATAATTGCCTGTGCAACATTTCCTTCAGACATAAAAGTAAGCAGTCAAAAAAGAAATTTTATACTTGAAACTTTTAAAAATTCTTGAAGCTTCTTCTTAATTACAGTATGTCTGAACCGAAGAACAAGCCTCTTAAAAACAGTAAGAAGAGTAGTAAAATCATTATTATTCAATCAAATCTTTACAAAAACGTTGATTTAATCTGTCATTATCAGTTGGAACAATCAGATATTAACATATGTTTGGCAACTAAATCATTATAGATTTTTTTGGTTTTGCTTGGGTGGACTGCTAGTTCTTGTCCCTTTCCGTTTGTTTCTTTGTTATTTTATCTTCATGGTTGAACAAATGAAGACACCAAATACCTTTACACACACTAATCAGTTTTCTAGAATCTATTTGATACAGGGAAATTTGGCATGAAAAACTAAAAGCAATCTCATCCAATAAAACAATGCTCACTAGTATCTCTTTCTTTCATTGTTTTCTAACACATTGTTTCAAAATAGCCCCCAGTTACGACCTTTGATCATAAACATAATGATTACTTCTAATACTAACAATAAACTTATTACATAATATCACGAGCACAAATCACACATAAGTGATAAAAGCAGGAGATGTAGTCATCCACTGAACAAAACTGCAAACAAATCAATCATAACTGCTTAGAAAGAACAAAGATGATTGGATAATGTCAATCTAGCAAAAAGTGCAACCAAACCTTGATTTTATGGTGGTAAACATTACGACCAAATGACCAGATGAGTAAGATTGAACATATAATTACCTCATCAAGAGAGTTTTCTTTTTTGCATCTGTCTTGTAAGAGACATAAAACTAAAGTGCATTGTTCATACCTCATCTAACATAGACAGAAGCTTCGTCAACTTGCTTTGCAACTCTTGTTTCTCAGCATGTGAAAGCTCACATTGCGAGTTACTGGCTGTGTCTTGAGGGTTCGAAGATACTCCACTTTCGAGCTCATTCTTTGATCCATCATCTCGATGCTCATGTGTGCTTTGGTTCTTCTCCCTATCATGCTGCTTCAGTGCTTTCTGGACATTGACAACTTCATCAAGAAGTTGTTGTGCTGCTTTGAGGTATTTGTTATTGGGAATGGCTCTTGCAATACTTGACATCCCATATGGAGACAAATCCCCTTTACTTGAATCTGGATTGCCTCCAGGAAAACCAGATTGCAAATATTCAACATTCCTTGGCTGTTCATCTCTAAAAGAGCCATTCCTGCAGTCACCCTCACTTGAGATTGATGGATTTGGACTTAAGAATGAAGCAAAACCCATATTGGGATTGCGGTATGGGATAGAAGGCATTTGCATTCCTGATGGTATTTGTGTACTGAGACTGAGGGATAATCCCTGACCTTGCAAGTTCTGTCCGCCATGAAGAATAGCTGCAGAACCACCCATGGGGTGCGTAACTAGCATCTCATTTCTACCCTCCCTCCATGGACTGAATCCTTGCTCTCCAACACGGGAGCCACCGAGATGCGATAAAACATCCTGCTGCTGTGAATTGTTATCTGAAGCCCCCGCGGAGGAGACTACGTCAATGCAGTTGTTTTGCTGCTGAGAACTACCAGCCAATGCATCCGAGTATGACCCAGAGTTCATATACATCATCATGTTACCAGGAAGAACAGGTGCTTCTGGATATGAACTAGGCAAAGGTTCCCTTAAATAGAGCATTGGCGTGGCATCTTTTTGATTATTCGAACCAGTATAATAAGCTGACATACTTTTCTCTGCTCCTTATTGCCCAGTTATTTGAGTCAGATTACGGTCATCCCCAACACTGAAAATAAATCAGTACAACTTCCATCATTACTAATCCGTAGCACAGTCGGAAAACTAGTAAACTTACAGGAATTTAATTGTGAATAATCAATTCTTACTCTCACCAGTATAAGCTTATGCACTTAAAGGAAAACTAGTCAAGTACAGAAAATTATCTGTTGGGATTCCAAGCAATCCTCACAGAAGAAAATCAACTCACCAAAGCAAAACACTTTGGAGATATAGGAATTGATTGCAAATTCTATTACCACAAACAGAAACTTATAATTATAGAAAATACAGGTAATTAATGCCCCAACATATAGGAGAATTAATCATCCAAAAACCAGTCTTTGTATGCTGACATATGAACTTGTTAGGTGCCTGGCAAAGGATTGACTTTTGGACCAACATCCATTGGGAGAAACTTTCTTTGTACAAAGAACCTCTTAGAAGGAAGAAAAATTATTTATATCCATTATTTTTTTCCAATAACTGAATTATTCAAGTAAATAATAAGCAATAACTACCCAGAAGAGCCATGCAAACAGAATCAGAATTCAGAAATCAACCCCAGAGAGGGAAATTAAATTCTAAGAGAAAACCATGTTCAGAGAAGGAAAAGATAAAGATAAATTCAAATGAAAAACAAGATTTTTAGACTACCAACAAGGAGAGAAAAAAAGGAAAAAATAAAACAGCAAGAAGGAAGACAGACGAATAATAATGGATCATCATCTTAACAAATAGAAAGAGAGAACCATTAAACAAAAAGAAAAACAGAAAAATTCACGTCTGAGAGAGAGAGAGAGAGAGAGAGAGAGAGAGAGAGCAGCTAAAAGATAATATTGAAGATAAAGTCAGGAAAAAAAAAACATAGAAGAATAAAAAAATACCTGGAAACTGGTAACAGTTGTGGGTTGTGTGGGGAACAGAAAAGTCTTAGAGAACATCACCCGATCGCTAGAACACAATCCTCTCAGAACCAAACACTTTCCGATCCCAAGAACACCAACAACAACAACTCTATTATTTAACAACAATAAAAACCCACAAAAAGGAAAAAACAATATCTTTTCTGTGTGAGAAAATAAGTGAGATGAGAGCTATGAATTTTTCACTTTTGCTCTGTTTTTTTGCAATCATAGATATTCTCCACCCATCACTGAATCAAACCCCACGTGAGACTCACACGCACACAGAAAAAAAAAAAACACACAGAGAAAGTGTTTCACTGAGTCACTCAAGAAAAATGATGACTTTCTCTTTCAAAGTATGTGGGTTTGTTTCCTTTTCCAGAAATGGATTCTCCTTTTGGGGCTTTGGTGGGTTTCTTTGCTTTTCTTAGTTTTTTGCTTGAAACCCAGTTGGGGAAAAGTTGTTGGGTACTTGACTTTGCTGTTATTTGCTTCTTCTTCTTCTTCTTCTACAATTTGCTATGCTTAATTCTTTCTTTGGCTGGTGATGCTCAAGTGTTTGGTTAAGGAGCTCAATCTCTAACCACCAGTTGGTGGACCTAAAACCCTCTCTTAAACCCCCATATCCTCTCCCACCATCTAATCTCTCTCTCCTCTCTTTTTTTCTTCCTTCTATCTAACTTCAACCTCTATGGCTGTCTCTCTCATCCCTTTGAGCATGGAAGGTCTGGGTTTCCTGCAATATCCACCATATAAGCATATTCTATTATTTTCCTCTATTTTTTAAGTTGTGTATTTTTGTCCTAAGCTTCTCTTCTGAATTTTGCTTTTTTTTTTTCCTTTTTTTTTGTCTTTTAACAGGTAGTTTTTTATATATTTTTTATTTAATTTAAGAGGTGCACCATTTAGCATTAGGTGCCCATATCACTGTATTTGTCGTTTTGTGCCAACTAATCTGGGATTTTTGCACTTGTGGTCCTGTCATCTTTATGTATTTCTAGTTGTTTCCCCTATTGTTGTGGTATTGCATATTTGTCACTATCATCCAAATTCTCTTTTGTATAGTTTTAGCTATTACTTTGTTCAAGTGGTGGGGGCAAAAGTTTTTTTTTAATCTTTCAAAGATCTCCAAACCAATATATAAATATCAAGGACAAATGTCAGATTTATTGATAAAATTTGCACCCCAAAAAAAAAAACTATTCTCCTACCAAAAACAAGAAGTCTATATATACATTTTTTTTTACTATTAATGATTATTAATTTTTAAATGTTTAAATATAAAACTAATCATTTAGGTGGGAGGCTTTTAACTCCACAGTAAAATTAGAATACTTACCTCACCCTCATGGTAAGAGTAAAATTAAAATGATTAGAAAAAATATAATAATGAGAATTTTTTTTAAAAATTTCAATATGATAACTAAAAGTAATTTACATGGTATTCACCAAAAAAAAAAATAATAATTTACATGGTTATCTTGCAAAAGCATCTCCATCATTTTTACCTTCCAACAAAAAAAAAATTTGTCTCTCACAAATATTTCTTTTTTCCGATGGGGATATGGTTTATTGGAGCTTCTATCTAAGATATAACACTTGCCTAACCCACTAATGTGACACTACTTACTTGTATTCCCCCACCTTTAGCTTTCCCTTTTAGATGATAACAATGAAAAAGGCATCTCTTTGATGAGGGGCAGTGAAGTGAGTGGGCATTTTGAGATTGGGTTTGGAATGAAAGGTACAACCTTTTGGAAACTAGTGGGACTATTTTACTTGATGTTATGAAAGAAAATAAAAGGTAGAAAACAAAATTAATGGGGATAAAATACCAAAGATGCTTTGGTTTTTACTATAACAAAGGGAAGTTTAGTGCTCAAGATAATTGATGGGCTTCTTTTTAATGATACTTCATGCTTGGGGCATTTGATTGATGACTCTCAACTTCTACTATCAACTTTCTTGTCTAGTTCTTGTCATATTTTTTGAGAAGTCAATATTGTGGCGCATAGATTAGTCTATTTCGCTTTATCTATGAAATTATGAATGATGGATGTTTCCGTGATCATCTGATATAATTTGGGATGCATTGTTTGAAGATGCTTACTTTGTAATTTCTGTTAGTTTTTTTTAACAGAATGTCTCTCATTAAGAAAACAAAACAAAAAACTGTCTTTTTTTGGGTCATATTATTTTATACAAAAACTAGACTTAAAAGAAATAATCATTCAACTTTTTCTGTCTTGAAAAGCCATAGACTAAGAATTACAATATAGAAAAAGGCAAAAAAAAATTATAATTACAACATCACCAACGCATAAAACAAGTTTGACTCTTCAGCTAGATGGTAATTTAACATTCAAAAAGAATTACAAGGTAATTTTAAAAATCTATTTTATTACTATTAGATTATCACTCCAACCGACATCTTTCTCAAAGTTACTATCGGTTTTGAGACATAGAAAGGCATTCTCAATTTCCAAATAGTTTGTTTAGCATTTTTGACAAAAATAAGGAAGCTTATAGCAAAAGCATAGCCACGTATAGGTATGAAGTGACCATCCTATGCATCCTCTTCAATTCTGTTAATTTGACATGGTGCATTTTCTTTTACAAAATTTCAAATTCTTGCCAACATAAATCGAGTGGAAAATGGCCTTGATTTGCAAACTAGTGGTCTCAAGTTTGAACTCCCATCAAAGGCAGAACTAGGACTTTTTCGATGGGTGTGCTAACTAAAGTAATTACCTTAAAATCTAATGATTTTTTTCACTTCCAATTTATATAGTCTTTCTAGAAATAAAAGTATACATTAAATCATATAAATCAAGCTAATTCACAATTTCATTGACTAATTTTCAATGCGCTTTTTTTCTTTTTATACAAGCGATATTTGTGGAGAGGGGAATCAGACCTAGGACCTCGTGTGCATGGCTAAATGCTAATTTCCACTAAACATAAAACAAATACATATTAATGAAACCAAAAAGCACATATTATAAAATGAAAAATATGTTCGACAACATAAATGAAAGTGTACTTATTTTAATGTGTATTTTTATTGATGTCTTGCAACTAAGAATTGGACTTTTTTGAACTAGTAACAGGTTAATATATATTTGGCTATGTTTAAAACAAGTTAAATATATATATTAAGGTAGTTTCGCCCATGATACCTTAGTAATGTGTGCATAGGAAATCCCCTCTCGTTTTTGTAGTTTAGACTATCGCTTGTATTCAAAACAAAAACAAAATTCAAAATTCAAAATTCTCACTCTTTAAATGTAAAGCTACTATATAAACTCTTCTTTAATTTACTCCCTTCTTCACCAAAAGCTTTAACTAACTAGACATCCAACAACCCACTTGCTAAATATATAAATATATAATTCCAAATTTTTTCACATTGATTTTTTTAAGGTTGTTAAAATTAAAACAAGGTGAGTGCAAGGGAATGCGTGAGCCCAAATAGTTTGTTTGGCTTACAAGATAGCAAATGAAATGCAATAATTGTAACTTAATCTTGCATGGTTGAATTTCAAAATGCCAACAACCTCATTGCATTTAAAGAAAGAGGGGCAGTTTTGGTATTAGCCAAAGTCTACGAGGTCAAACGCTGGTTTTCAAAAGCCTGCCTTAACAGCAAAGGCACACTGCCCTTAACGACAAGGGCAGGAGCAGGGGAGCCCTAATTGAAGACGCAGGCAGGCAGGCAGCGCAGGACATGGCATTGCCCATTGGCTCTTGGGATTGGGGAAGGCCAGGAAAATCTAAGGCTCAAAAAACGACAGATGTGATTGGCTTGTGGGGATCGGGAATCTGTGTCGTTTCAGCATACTTACGTTAGGTCGTATGACTTTGGGGTTTGGGGTTGGCCTTTTTTTTTTCTTCTTAATTTCTGACACAAACGGAGTCGGGACTCGGCAAACGAATGCGTAATCATTGTACTTTGTTCATGGTCTAACAACCTTATATTTCCATTTTGACCCAAAGTTTTCTTGTTTCTCATGGCATGTACCAAGAGTAAAATTAAAATTTATTTGCACCTGGTAAAAAGTTAATTTTCTTTTTTTCATTGAGATAATTGTCACTTTTCAATTCTTCTTGCATCTCTATTAACATTGTGAAACAATTTTCTTATAACCTAATTGATTTATGGATTAATCTACATATATTTGTACTACTATACTAAAGATTCAGAATTGCGTTTTTATACCCTGCAATTGTAATCACGTCGCGAATTTTTTTAAAATTATACTCGTATTCCTGATAATTACATTTGTGTTGTGTGTTGATCATTCTGACTCTATATTATACATCTTATGATATTATATTAATAAAATATCTTTTATAACAAAAGAAACTCAAATAACAATAATAAATTAATTACACATATTTAGTGAAAATGAGAGAAAATTTCATTTTAAAAAGATTAACACACGAACCTCTGTTACCAAAACAAATCTTTAAAATGTCAGTTAAAAAATAAATATTAGAAAGAGTTTAAATAAACGTGTCTTGATCATATTGTTCAAAGTTCGTTATCTCCTTAAACATGCAACTCAAGTAATTCATCAACATTCTAAAAGTGGCATTATCTCGGGCCACCCTTACCTTAATGAGCCATAATTTCAGCCTACCCGCCTCTTCCTTCGGTCTTGATCTAACGTGTCAATTATTAGATGGACTTCACCAAATGAAGACAACTTTGTTAAGTTCAATTTTCATGATTGTGTTTCTCACAAATTTTTTTATAGTAAATTGAGCTTAGATCCATAAAATTCATTTTAAATCACCTACAGCCCTTTCCTTTAGTTTTCTATTTAAAATACCCAATTTTTTCAAATAATACCCGATGTCTAGGATCCAACTAAGCAAGTTACCTAATATAACTTAAAATCTGATTTATTGTATTTTTCAGATTCCAAAACTACCCCTATTTATGACTTAATGTGTTATGAGGCGTGTAACTAATGACACACGTTGAATTTGGAAAGATAATCAAATGGTTGTAATGGATGTAGGAATTAATTTAGAAACTTATTTGAAATTAAATATTAAATTCAACATTAATGTATTAGTAATGTATTTTACGACTAGTAATCTATTTTTGAATTAATGTTGTTTTCCTTTAATGAATTACAACTAGTAATCTATTTAACGTATTAGTAATTTAAATTCAATGTTAAATTTAGAAATTAATGTTGTTTTCCTTTTATGAATTCTACGACTAGTAATCCATTTTATTATAGTTTTATGAATAATAGTGTACATTTTAATTATGTTGAAAAATAATTTGATAATCTAGTTATTGTTTGTTTTTTGAAAAACATTTTTTTAAAATGAACTTATTTTTTCTCTAAATAAAGCACCTATTACTTGTTTTATGAAAAATAATTTGATCATATTTTTATTGTTTATTTTATGAAAACAATTTTTTTTTTTAAATGAACCTATTTTTTCTCTCCAAATAATGTATCTATTTTTTTTCTCTAATAATGTACCTAGTATAATGAACCTATTTTTTCGCTAAATTTTGTATCTATTTTTTTCTCTAAATAATGTACCTAATTTTTTTTTCTCTAATAATGTATACCTAGTAAAACAATTTACCCAGTATATAATGAACTTATTTTTTTCTTCTAAATAATGTACTATTTTTAATTTATAAAAAATCTGCATAAATTTCAATTATACAACGCAACTACCTAGTAAAACAATTTACCTATTTTTTATTTATAAAAAATTTGTATAAATTTCAATTATACAACGCACCTATTTTTTATAAATTATTGTGTACCAATTTCTAATTTATGAAAAATG